GCAGTAGTGCTCAGGATTACTACCATCCATGGGCACTACCTTTGTGAACTACTTTTAATAGAAAAGTAAATATGTACTTTAACAGTGTGGTGGGGGTGGTGAAATGAAATGAGATTCTTTTGACTTCATCCATATTATGCTGGTAACAAGTCTCTTCTAGTAATGGCTCTCCCCTGGCTAATGTTCTGTTGTTAAAGTTCCCATTAGAGCTGGGCTCTGCTGAGTTAACATTTGCACATACCAGACAGGATGCTAACATGAGGTTGGCAGATGATCTACTCTCACTCCTAGATTAAAGTCTTAAGAGGTTCTGAAAATGTACCAGTCAAGATGGGTTTTGAATGATTCACAGTTCAACACCATCTAGGAAGAGGCCAAGGCCATCCAAGAGATCTATCAGATCTGAAATGACATGGGAAATACTTGGGTCTGACTGTCCCAAGTGTTTATGATTTCTTCTAAAAATACAGAGGTAAGAATAAGATACATAGTTTTAAGTAATCAATAAATAAACTAATGAAGCTTTTTTTTTTTTTCTCAAAGAGAGGGAGCATGCATGAGTGTACGCAGGTGAACAGGGAGTGGGGGAAGCTGGGGGAGTAGAGGGAGAGAGAGAATCTTAGGCAGGATCTATGCCTAGCACAGGGCCTGAGTCTCCACCTCACAACCCTGAGATTATGATCTGAGCCGAAATCAAGAGTCAGATGCTTAACCCACTGAGCTACTCAGGTGCCCCATTAAAGTAATGAAGCTCCGAATGGCTTCTCTACGTATCGGAATCAGAACTTCTCCATTAAAATTTTAGTACAGGGGAAAAAGGGGATAGAATTATCAAAAGGCCACTGTTTGATAACAGTGAATTCTTCCCATTAATTGATGTTCTACAAGGGAAGATGAAGAGGGTAATGAAAGGCAATTTGAGTACCTACTGTATACTGTGCACAATATCAGGCTGTTTCACATACTTTATTCCACTAATTCCTCACAACCAGAGAGATCAGTATTTGTATCCCCATCTTACAAATGAGGAAAGCTAGACCAAAGGGTTAGACTAACTTCACATAGCTACTGAGAAACAGAATTGGGTCCCTGCATGGCTCAGTTAAGCCTCTGATTCTTGGTTTTGGCTCAGGTCATGATCTCATGGGTCAGGAGACTGAGCCCTGCATCTGGCTTCCCCACTCAATGGGGAGTTTACTTGGGGATTCTTTCCCTCTGCCTCTTCCCCCATGCATGCTTGTGCTCGCTCTCTCTCTAAAAAATAAATATATAAATCTTAAAACAACAACAACAACAACATCAGAATCTACTTAGGCAGAAAGGCACTGATATTTTTGCCAACATTCTCAAAGTGTGGTCCTTAAATTGTTATTGGTCCACAAAGATATTAATTAGAAGGGTGAATAAAGGATTGGAAACGTTTATGTCAATTTGACATGGCCATGACATTTCTATTGTATTTTACAAACATTCTGGTCCAACATGGATTTTGGAAATTTTAAAATCCAGCCTCTCATCATATTATAAGAAGCACTAAACTCACCTATTGGCACTATGAGGGCTAGGACTCTGTTGTTCATCTTGTTCATCTTGGAACGAATATTCAACATGTATGTGTACCATGCAAGATTTGCTGAAATACTGCACTGAAGTTCTAACCAAGCTTTTCTGACTCCATAGCATTATTGCCTCCATGAGCTTATCAATCAAATGCTTAAAATGGGATCCCTGGGTGGCGTAGCAGTTTGGCGCCTGCCTTTGGCCCAGGGCGCGATCCTGGAGACCCGGGATCGAATCCCACATCAGGTTCCCGGTGCATGGAGTCTGCTTCTCCTTCTGCCTGTGTCTCTGCCTCTCTCTCTCTCTGTGTGACTATCATAAATAAAAAAAAACAAAAAAAAAAAAAAACAAAAAAAAATGCTTAAAATATCCTTAAAGAGGTCCAATTTCTATTTAAACATGTCTACGAGAAAATGTACAATTTGTCCTACATATATGTTGAGCTTTAAAGAAAAAGGAAGTTTTGCTTTTTCCTTGTCCAATACAATTGTTTAAAACAATAGAGGTTCAGTAAAAAAATGGAATTTATTCAGTTCAAAATGGAGTTTATTTTGAAAAGTTATTTATTCATCATGCTGTTATGTATTTGAAATGACAATATACTTCAAACTCAACAAATAAGTTTGGGTGACCAAATATTATGCTATAATTTTTAAAAATGAATTATAAAGAGAACTAAGCAACACGGTCAAGAGTTATGTAAGAAACTATTCACAGGATAGTAATTTCTCAAAACAACAATGTTAAGAATTGTTTTAGAAAAGTTTCCAAAACTAGAGGTTTTTCACACAGGAATTAGAGCTCCTGGTTTCTCTTGTACTAAGTACAGAACACAGGGAATCATTTAGTGAATATGAACCACCCTTAAGTGTACCCTACTTTTCATATTCACATGTATCTTTCAAAAGGAAAACTGAAAATAATGATACTCTTAAAGATATTAATGGGTGTGAACCTACCAAGTCTCAGTAATTAAGTTTAAGATGTTAGTAATTATACCATCTAAGTAAATTTCCACCTCAATTTCTTTCTTCATTGTTTCCTCTAACTTACCCTTCTTTTGTTAAGTCTTAATAACTTGCCAAAATATAACTGGAATAAAGTGCTTTAACTTCCAATTCGTAATGAAACTTGTAAAAACTTGCAGGTATAAAAAAGTGCATGAGAAAAATGAATATGCTGTCAGATATATCATAACTGTTTCCCAACAGGTTCGTTCAAGTTGACAACTATAAAAATTGGATAGAGAACTTTAAAAAGTTAGTCGTAAAAATGTCTATTTTAAGTGTCTATTTCTGGGAGCTGATTCAGATAGAAGGAGAATCATTTTGAATACCAATCATGACATTCTTTTTATATTGTTTTTATACTGTCTAAAATTCTACTGATAGACATCTTCTATAACTACCCAACAAGAAATATTATCACTTTAAAAACTCTTTATTATGAACATAGAAAATTTGAAGACTTTGGAGACATGGATATAAAGGCCCTATTTTTCGAGAATCATCTGGTAATACTACACAGACATTAGATACATACATTTTAGAAAATATAGTTAGTCACACATATATGAATTTAAAGATGTAACCATAATTTTCTAACATATATACATATATATACATATACACACACACACACGTTAAGTATATTTAAGTTATGCTGAAAATTTTTTAACATAGGGAAAGATGCAAAGGAGGACAGACTCAGATTTTAAGAAAATATTTGCAGATACTTACAATGTGCAAAAGTTTTAACACATCCACAAACCTGTAAAAAAAAAAATGTTTTAAATGAGCCATTGGGGAAATAAATGGTCTTCTGAATTATAAACTGAATACCTACACTTTCTCTGAGCTCATGATCTCCTTGGCAATATGATGGACTTTACTTTTCATTCCAGTATCTTCATCCTGTGGATAAGAGTGCATAAAGAAAGCATTAACTCATAAAAGGATAATGAAGATCAGCTTTGATGTAAATTCTAACTCTGATACTTCTAGGTTTCTGATTTCATACTATATAACATCTCCTCCAATGGCAAACATGAAGAATTAGATACTGTTATTGAAGCATATTACAGGAGGAGCTGAGAGCAATAGGTGATTCTCACCACTATCAGCACTGGACTGATGGATTGTCTTGAGGAGCCTGAGCCTTGGTGGAGCACAACTGTCAATGGTTCAAAACTAAAAAGTCATATTCTACAGGAGAAATGACTCCTACAGGTATCACATAAACATGAGTTCTTCCCATTATCTAACCTAGGAATTCTTCCACTACCCTAAATTTCTCTTAACTGCTGGTAATCATGGCATCTCCTCACAAAGATTCACTGCTAGATATATATACCCATATATATCTCCCCTCTGCTTCCTTTAAGATTTAACAAATCCCAAACATTCTGCAATACTGATTTAAAACATTTTATGAAACAAATTGTTATATATAACATTCAAGTTTCCCTCCTCCTCCAAGAATAAATACTAATCTTGCAGTGTGTATTTATTCCTTCCATGTTTTCATATTTAAGTTCTTATGTACTTAAGTACATAAGAACTTAAATACGATATAAAAAAATCCTAACTTCCATCAGAATATAAATATTATTATGCAAAAAATATTCAAGGTAGGCTATGAAACCAACTATTTACAAAAAGTCTTTAAAGAGTTATTCATTCAGAATGCATTAATACTGCAGTCTAGTTAGCCTTAGATATTTTGCCTTGCTATTTGATCTTAGCCCCCAAATTCTTCTTTTAAAAGATTTTATTTATTTATTTGAGAGACACACAGAGAGAGAGAGAGAGCGCGCGCACACATGTGTACATGAGAGCATGAGCAGTGGGGAGGAGCAGAGGGAGAAGCAGACTTCCTGCTGAGCAGGGAACCAGATGTGGGGCTCCATCCCAGAATCCTGGGATCATGACCTGAGCTGAAGGCAGATACTTAACTGAGCCACCCAGATGTCCCTCAGATTGAGCCACCCATGTGCCTCTCAAACTCTATCTTTTAAGGAACAGTTAGATAGATGAATTTGACTTCCATCCACATTATTACTCCTCTTTTCTAAAACAGCTTGTTGGATGATCATGACCAACAGACTGAATAAGTTTTGCTCAACTGAGCAAGATGCAGCATAAGATACTCAGCTCCATTGACCAGCTACATTCCTCAGGAAGCAGTCTTAAGCACAGCCTTATCTTGCAGACCATGTATCAGTCATGTGCTAATAACCATGACTGTACACAACACTCTTACACAGACACACACACACAGGGATAATTGTTACTTTGAAAAATTTAGCAAGTCACTGCTTTCCTATTATAATGAGTTTCTTTGTATCATCTGTAGCTAGAAAGTTTAATATTTGTAAAATACAGTATATCTTTTTTAAATTGAGAGCCAGAAGAAATGCATTAAAAATGAAAAATGAGGATGCCTGGCTGGCTCAGTTGGCAGAGCATGAGACTCATGATTTCAGGGTTGTGGGTTTGAGCCCCATATTGGGTGTAGAGATTACTCAAAAAAAAAAAATTAAATAAATCTATTTTTTAAAAAAGACCTGAAAGAAATAAAGCCATAACTCAGCACTTTTCAAATGATGTGAGGTCCCTTAAAGGTCAAGAGGTGCTAGCAATAGCTTTAAAGAAACCGAGGTATACTATAGACGGTGAAGCATTTGACTAGCAGAGCCACCTAAAATGTATGCCACTTTTATACCATCTCTTCAAGTAGGTGTACTTTATTTTCAGTATTTCCCCTTTATTTACGCTCCTCTTTCTAAGATTTGTTTATTCTTTGAGAGAGTGAGTGCAAAGGAGCAAGTGTGGTGGGGGTTGGGGGATAAAGGGAGCACAGAGCGAGAGAGAGAATCTCAAGCAGACTCCCTGCTGAGCACAGAGCTGGATGAGGGGTTCAATTCTGGCACCCTGAGATCATGACCTGAGCCAAAATCAAGAGTCAGATGCTTAGCTGACTAAGCCACCCAGGCGCTCTTCCTTTCCTCTTTTTATAACTTTGCCTTTGTTAAGTTTCTACTCCAAACAATTTTTTCCCTCTTCAGGATCTTGCTCTGCCAGGTCTCATTTAGAGAGAACTGTGTGATGACTCCATAATAAATGTTATCCCCAGGCAGATATCATGCTTCTGTTCCAGCAGGGGACAAAAAATACTTTAACTTATAAAAACAATTACAGTGTGCCTGACATTCCTTATCTGTAAAATGAAAGTGCTGAATTTGCAACTTTACAATCTTAAGATTTAAACATTAAACAATCTCAGGTGTGGCATGGCAAGTCCCTGAGACATAAAGTGGCATCGATTCAGAGGCACTGGAGCTGGTGAGTATGAAGGATGTGTTTCCCTTCTAGAAGCTGAGATTGTAAACTATGGGGGGGGGGTTCTAAATGGTGAGTATTGGCATAAAGACAGACATGTAGGTCAAAGGGAAAAAATTGAGAGAAGCAAGCCCTTAATTTTGTCAATGGATTCTTAACAAAGTTGTCAAGACACTTCAATGGAAGAAAGAATTGTCTGGTTGGTTTTTGTTCAATAAATGGTTCAAAATTGCTAGACCAATTAGATATCCATAAGTGAAAAGATGAATTTATAAGCTGACACCACATAACAAAAATTAATTAAAAATGTACCCTAGACTTTAAGAGCTAAAACTATAAAACTTCTAGAAGAAAACCTTTGTGACCCTGTATAGGATAATAGTTTTTAGATATGACATCAAAGGCATGATCCATAAAAGAAGAAAATATCGATAAACTAAACTTCATAAATTTAAAACTTATGCTTAAAAAGACATGATAAAATAAAAGTCCCAGGTTGTAAAAAAAAAAAAATATAAACATGGTTCTGTGTCCAGTATATGTAAGTTTGTGAACTGACATTTCATTAAATATTTAAGAATAGCCAATAACTTTATGAAAAGATGCTCAATATAATCAGTCACCAGGGAAATGCACATTAAAACCACAGTGGGATTCCAATTCATATCCATAGAATGGTAATAAAAAAAAATCAGAAAATAGTGGGGCACCTGGCTGACTCAGAAGAGCATGCAACTTTTGATCTTGGGGTTGTGACTTTGAGATTACTAAATTACTAAAGTACCAGATTATTTTAAAAAATAAATAAGCTAAAAAAATCAGAAAGTAGCAGGTGTTGGTGAGGATGTGGAGGAAACTTTATTACTGCTGGAAATGGGAGCCTTTATTCATATATTGTGATTGGAGGTTTTAGCCATCTTCTAATATCCTCAAAGACAGAATTTGTATTTCTTATCCTCCTTGTTATTCTGAGATCATTCCAAGAGGAAGGAGTGACTACCATCCTTACACTACCATTTAAAAATCTATAGTAACTGACCATCCATCATTTGATCGCAAGGTTAGTAGGAGAAAACAGCTCTACCCTCAGCCGATTCATTGCTCTACAGCTAAATTTGAAAACATTCATCATTAGAACCCCAGGCCGCTCTTAAATTTCAGGTTCCCATTGAACTGTTGGAAATTCTGATCTGTAGGTCTGAGATGGGGCAGGAAAGTGGTTGTTAGAAGAGGAAATTAAGGATAAATTTTGGAAGAGCCCCAGCCTTCAAGAAGTGAATAAAGAGAACAGACCAAATACACAAATAACTATGAAATGTGCTGACCTCTTGAAGGAGGAAAAGATTTTAACAGGCAGCAGGGTGTAATTCAGGAAAAGATTCACAAAGAATAAAGCATCTGATGACCTTTGGTCATTCCTTAAGTCATCAAGTATCTGCATACTAGATACTACAGATAGCCACTCATCAAAGCCAGAAATCTGGACTCCTTTCTTCTCCGCCTTCTTTGATCACAACTGAGTCCTGTCTATTAATCCTTACGAATATTTCCTTAAAGTTTCATTGATTCATACCTCTCTCCTTTAATATTGCCTCCTTATTTCCTGTTTACCCTACGGCAGGAACCTAAGTAGTTTCCTTGGCTCTAGTTTTTTTATTTTTTTAAATTCCACTGCAACCCAGTCTCTATACTGTCACAGAGTAACAGTCCTAAAATGTAAAGATAATCACTTTAATTCTCAGGTTGAAACACATTAGCAACTCCCTATCATCTATGGGCAACAAAGACTCAAGTTTCCTTTGCCATGTATCTGAGATACTTCTCAGGGTGTCTAGTTATCTTCTGCTCCCAGACACAATATACTCTCTACTCCAGCCATAATGGCACCACCTTGCCAACTCCAAGTGTGCTCTGCCCTTGCATGTCTGTCCCTATATGCTTTTCTGCTTTGACTTCCCTCCTCACTTCTCCCCTCCCCAAAAGTTTCTGCCTGTCAAATTCCAACTTATTCTTTAAGAGGGTGCTCAAGGGTTTTCTCCTTTCTCCTTGCCTTCATATTCTCTCCCCACCACTGCCACAGGACATGTTATTCTTATTCATGTATGTACAGAACTTAATCCAGTGGATTGTTTATTTACTGACATGTTTAATTCCCCCTAGTTTAGGACCTTGTATCCTTCTGCACATAGCACAATACCTGGTCCACTGTGCAACTGATATGCATGAATGAGCAAATGTATACAAGGGTGGCTGTCATCTCAGAATCTAAGGACAGAGCACAGTGCTTTTGAATATGTATTGAGTTAGAACTGGAGGGTATTCTGCTGAGTGAAGTAAGTCAATCAGAGAAAGACAAACATATGGTTTCAATCATTCGGGGAATATAAAAACTACTGAAAGGAATTAAAGGGGAAAGGAGAGAAAACGAGTGGGAAAAATCAGAGAGGGTGACAGAACATGAGAGACTCCTGACTCTGGGAAATGAACAAGGGGTAGTAGAAAGGGAGGTGGGTGGGAGGATGGAGTGACTGGGTGACAGGCACTGAGGGGGGCACTTGACAGGATGACCACTGAGTGTTACACCATATGTTGGCAAATAGAACTCCAATAAAAAAATATACCAAAAAAACATTAAAGAGATTTATTAGAAATATTTTAAAAATAATATGTATTGAGTAACATGAAAATATACTCTGAAACAAATTATTAGGTCATTATAGATATTTCATCATGTAAAAAAAGGGTAAGGGGTTGGCCTTTTTACAATTCTAAAATTCTAGGCATCTGTGTATTCTTTTGTCTACTTTTTAAACTAGGAAAACTCTAGAGCTAAAGAGGGATAGTAACTATTAGAAAATGATCCAATGGATTACAACCATTTTCAAAGTAGAAAGTCAAAGATAACTAAAAAACAGAACAAAGTAAAAAGTTCTGTATTATCTTCAACTTGTAAGAAGAATGACTTATTCTGACCCAAGTCAAACAATGATGGAAAAATACATCCCACTGTAAAACCTCGAGAGGCCATATTTGGCATCTAAACTTTCCAGTTAATGACAGTCCTCACTTGAATTACTTCGCATTTCAAAGCAGATTGCCTGTTAAATAACTGCATCTCCCAGAAGTACCCTGCTGTGGAAGCTGAAACATTAGCCACAATGAAATTACTTTGTGAAGATCATAAGTCAAACAAATTCCAAAACAGAACCTTTGATGTGAAACCCAGTTTTATGTTCTGATCTCTTGATAATAGCTCAGCTTTGTAAATTCTTAACGGTGTTCTCCTCTATTCATATTTGTTCACTACAAATAAAATCCAGTGAAATTTATCCATTATTTTTTAATATAGAATTTTTTTTCAAGATTTTATTTATTCATGAGAGACACAGAGAGAGGCAGAGACATTGGCAGAGGGAGAAGCAGGCTCCCTGTTGGGAGACCAATGTGGAACTTGATCCTGGGACACCCCCCACCCCCTTCATGACCTGAGCCAAAGGCAGATACTCACTGAGCCACCCAGATGGCACTAAATAGAATTCTTAAAAGGCCTCTGTTATGCTACTCAAGGGCTCTACTAAAAAAGCAAAAAAACTGAACAACCAGATCTGCCTTCCTCAGGCATCTTTATCATTAAATTATCCCCCAAATGAGGTAACACCATGATTAACCTAGAAAGGACAAAGTTTTCTTGGGTTTTCATCCCTTTCTTCATGGGGTATATATCATATTAGCTATTTTACAAAGAAAATTTGGAAAAGAGGGAGGTATAGAAGTCAATATACAGGAAAGTTGAACAGTGGTGAATATTCTAACTACAATGAAGGGGAATGAACAGATCTCATTTTCAAATAACCATTCATTAAGCACTGAAAGTAAAGACCCCAAAACATAAAACTAAAAACTTAGAACAGGAAAAAAATAGAGATTACCATGGCTATCTCTACTAATAACTTGGGATAAGCCACAGAAACTGAATGATGTCGATGGAACATGTTTGGGATGGTAGTGAATGGCATGTTTTTAAAGATTAAGTGTAATATCTGCACCCACAGTACAAAGACAAGTGCAGGCACACAGATGTGGTATACAATGTTAACATTCTTCCCCTTCCTGGTAGCACTTTTACCTTTGCAAGACTATCTTTTTGAGCATCTGTTTGCTCTCCTTTCACGA